TTCAAAATCCAAAATATCAACTTCCACCCCCCCACTTTTAAAAAATCATACATGAACCCTTCTCAGTTTCCAAAAATTTTCAATGCACCCCCCCACTTTTTTTTCTTCGCCACATCCCTGTTTCCTTATATGTAATGAAAAAAGCAACGCAAAATCGCCCAAATCAAAATAATATCTTGACACTGGACTTTTTCGGAGTAAAGTGCCTATGGATCATGAATGACTTTTCAATTCTTCATGAGAACAACTGTTTAACATTAGATTTTTGTAGAGATTTGCTGAGACTATCTTTTGGAAAACATTCAAATTAAATCTTTGAAAATTAGGAAATAAGTTAACAAAATACTGAGAGAATCATTCTTTACGGGCCGCTCATTATCGCCAAAGCTTATAATCAGAATGCGGAATTCTGTATCCTGTAAAGAAACGTCATTCGGTGTCAAATATCAGGGTTTTTGACTTACTCGAATATTTTCTTTAGTCTTAATTTGTTATTAAACAAAGTTGATAAAATTAAGATAAAGTTAGTTTGAATTGTTGTCTTAATTTTACATCTAATATGATGAGCTATCGTTGTCTAGTAAAGCTTCTCATCATATTTTATCTTATAGATCAATGGCTTTGGTTGAATATTGAACAAAAAAAAAGAAAACTTTTGGTCGGTTTTCGATACTTAAAAAAACCAAACTTTTAGGGAACTGTTGACTTTTCTGTCAGAAAGAACATTCTAATTTAACAGTTTTTTTTTTTGACAAATTATAAATCATTCTTTGCTTTTATCAACATAAACTCACGTTTGTATTCACATCTGAATATCGAAAAATTCGATAAAACTTTGAAAACAAAAATTATTTTGGCGCCTACGACCAATCATTGTTATCCTAAGAATAGCAAACTTTAAAGAAAAAAAAGAGATAGGCGCGACAGTTACAATTTTTGTATCTGCGCAATAATCTTCTCTTCATTTTCGTTTATCTTCATTTCACTCTTCTAATTATTAATCGAATAAAATGACAACAGCTATTTGTTCCTATGAAAATATTCGTCAAATAACATCATGTACAGTATGTAATCGAACATTTAAAGATCCTCGAATATTACCATGTGGACATACATTTTGTATTGATTGTATACGAAATACAATGCTTGATACAACTATCATGGCTTGTCCTAATTGTTCGTTTATTTTATATTCATTAATTTTATATACTTTATTTATTTATTTACTCAGGTTTAGCTAAACATACTATAGTTAATGTTGATTTATTATCACAAAATGTAGCTTTAATGCAATTATTACATATTCGAAAAATTGATATTGTTCAAAATAAACAATGTGCAATATGTAATGTTCAACCATCAATAACATCTTGTGCACATTGTTCTCGACAAGCATGTGTTTCTTGTTTGGAAGTTCATCGACAAGAAGTTATTAGTGATATTACACGAGAAACAATGGAAATTGAACGAATGAGTGATGAATTAAAACTAGCACTTAATCAAGCATCGAATGATTTTCGAGATCAATGTGATGAATCATTTCAACAAGCTAATAAACGGTATAGATTAATATTAAGAAAAAGAAATTCATAAATTTATTTATTTATTTTACTATAGTTTTGATGAAATGCAAAAAAATTTAAAATTATTAAATGAACGTTTATGCCAAAAAATTCAAGAATTTCATGATCGTCGCCAAGCTGATCTTGCTCGTTGTGTTGCTCGTCTTCATACTGAAATACAATCTATTGATAAATTTGTCGGAGATTCAAAACATTTGCTTGTTGATGTTAATATTCAAGTAAGTAATTTTCATAAATAATCAACTTTTTCAAATTTCTTTTTGTTTTTTGTTAGACTGAAGTATTATTACGTCTTAAACAACAATTTCAAGAACCACGAAAACGATTACCTATTCTTTGTAAGTACCCTCTCAACAGAGTACAAGTCCAATCTCAAATTTTGTGAGTATCGGTAAAAGACGCGAACACCCATACGTTTTACTAGTGAATTGGTCGACTTGACACAGGCACATGCCCAAAATGTTAGGCTTTTATTTGATAGCGTTAGAAAAATAAAAAGGATATATTTTCTCAATTTTAAGACTTATAACTGAATTTTGCATATAGATTGTATGACTAATTAACAGTATCATATATGTCAGCATCAACATCACATTCTTGTTTCCTATATAAGAACAACACTACCTTGGATTTCAATACGGTAATTGATAATAGAGATCTATTGGATACGTTCACACGAGCTATATACAAAATTCAATTGTAAGGTTTAAAATTGAGAAAATAGATCCCTTCTATTTTTCTAAGACTAGCATGTAAAAGTCTAATATTTTGCGTAACTGCCTACGTCGAGTCGATCTAGTCACTAGTAAAAGATATGGATGTTCACGTCTAATATAGGTACCTCTGGGTTATGATCTTTCAAACGTAATAGAAGTTCACCCTATCTGAACGAGCACAAAATAGCAATGTGAATCATTGAATAGATTAGTTCATCGCTTTTCGATGTTTAGTTGTAAATTCTTTAGTATACCTAATTACGTTTGATCTGCACGTTTTCTATTTATGAACGAACGTATTTCTTTCGTGAAGCAAAAAACGTTTACACATGAACATTAATGAAAAACAGCTGTTCGAAAACTGATAAATAGGAAACAGAGGCATGCTTTAATACCTTTCTGTCGGATTACTTTCTAACTGAAAAATAAGATGAGCTTGATATTTGTTGTTGAAGCTCTCGCAATGCTGGAACTATTTGTTTCATAAAAATTGGAACCTCATTTGATAATAAAGGATTTACTTTAAACTTCTTTCATGATGATTGAAATGTATCTCCTTGTGTTTCTGAACTTTATATAAACTTCTCAGATGGGGGCATCTGATAGAGCCGTATAAAAGTTTTTCTTAATCCCTCCCAAGCTTGACAGTTTCATAAAGTAAAGTATCGTAATAAGTGCGACTTAACGTATCGACATTAAGAGCCGCGAAGTACTGATTGCAGATGAACATGTAAATGAGAAAACTAGTGTAATAAATGCATCGCTCAGGTTATTTAATAACATGAAACTTGAAAAGTATAAAAAGTCCATTTTTAATTCTTCGGCAGTTGTCAAAGTTCTCAGACAGTTTGAAACTCCAATTTATTGAGTCTTGTGTACTTCTGTGCTAGTAAGCGAATCAAATCATAGCTATAGCATAAAAACAGACCAGCTGGCTACTATTCTTTGAGGAAAAGACGGTTAAGTCATTTTCTTTAAAAATTATCGTTAAATGTTTTTTTCAGCTCGAGATTTAATTGAATCAACACCAACTATTCAGTTTGTTTCATCTTCATTTCAAATGCTTAATGAAGAATTAGCGGGTACACTTGTTCTTGATAAACCTATTCATGGTAATATAAGTCCAAGTGGAACATCAGCTAGTGGTGATCATGATGGTCGTTTAGCTGCATTAGCATCAGGTTCGTTGTTTTTTTGGTATTGTATAAATGATTTTCAATATGGAATATTTCTTTTTTAAATAAAATAGGTTCTCGAACAGGTAAAATGGAAATAATCGGACAAGAAGGTTGTGGAAAATTAGAATTTAAATCACCAGCTGGTATGACAATAAATGGCGATGGACATTTAGTTATAGCTGAAGTTGATAATAATCGTTTACAAATTTTAACAAGAGAATTTACACATATTCGAACAATAATTGGTTTTCGTGAACCACGTGATGTTTCATTTACAAAAGATAAACGTTATTTGATTACTGATAATCATAAATTAATTATATTAGATGAAGAATTTCATAAAGTTGAAGTTATTGGTTCAAATAAATCGGGCAAAGGACGAAGTAATTTTCAGACAGAAACTCATCAAAAGAGAGAGATCATTAAGCGATGAAATCGGTACACTTACTAAATTAAGTTTCATACTTTCCAAATATTCGGTTTGGGTGTCACGAGTTGATTGTCTATCGAATTAATATACTTGATTTCCATTCAGACTGTGCACAATTCATTTAAAACTCGATATTGTCTATGCCCTATGAAGTCGTAATAGGCAGTGTTCATTTGAAAAGTTTTTCTTTCGTTTTCAACACTTTTTATTTAAGTTAGACATCAAATAATACTTTATTCTTCCCGTTATCGAATGGCATGTAGGAACATGACAGAGTAGTCTTCTTCCCTTTTTTTTTCTTTAGATGGTATTGTTCACTGGTGTATACGGTATAAGAGTATCCATGACAAAATTTCACTTCCATGGGACTATGAAAGCAACCATCCGCTTTGAGTTGCATACTATTTGATAGTCCTTTTGAAGCTCCACAAAATGCTGCTATTACATTAAGTTTAAATTTTGGTTAAGATGCTTCACTCAAACACACAATGTTCGAAAGGGTCACAGATTGCTCTTTTTCACTGATATTTCTAGTTCGGCCTTCTATCAAAACAAATAATATATTTTATGAACTACTTAGCAGCGAAAAAATGGGTCGATCTTTATATGTTCCAAAATGATTCACCAACTTTTATTTTCCTCTAAAAAAAATCAGTTCTGATATCCTCTGTGTCTTAGCGACAAATTAAGCTCGACGTAATAGAAGGCTTTTGTAGAAAATCACAAGAGCTAACGAATAGTATGCCATTCAAAGTGGATCTCTGCTTGTGTAGAACTATGGAAGGGAAATTTCGCCGTGAATATCCTTATATTGTATATACAAATGCACAATTTTATTTAAAGAACAAAGAGGAAAAAGAAAACTATATCATATACCTATATACCATTTGATAGCAGAAAGAATGAGCTATCATTTAGTATATAATTCACATAAAAAGTGTTGAAATGAACACTGCCTACTACAAGCATAGAGCTTAGATTATTTCGTTTTTTTGTTATTTTTTTCTTCTCTTTTAGATATGTTTAATAATCCAACTGGTATAAGTATTGATGATGATGATGATGATATTATAATATGTGATACAAATAATGATCGTTTAGTTCTTATTTCACGTGATTTTAAATGGATACGAGATATAAATACAGGTATTGATACATCACCACGTTATGTTTGTATACGTCAAAATATAATATATGTAACAAGTGGAACAAAAGCTTGTGTTTTAATATTTAATAAAAATACCGATCAACAAATAAATACAATACCAGAATTAACATTAGGTTTATCAATTGATGCACCACGATCTATTCGATGTGTACGAGATCTTTTATTTGTTACATCAAGTTTATCAAAAAGTATATTTGTATTTACAATTGATGGAGAATATCGAGGTGAATTAAGACATGAATTATTTTCAAGACCAATTGGCATTCTTTTTATCGATGATAGTCTTTATGTTACAGATAGTGATAAACATGCATTATTCCATTTCAGTGGTGTTCTTCAATGAAAAATTTAGATTAAAACTAGATTGACACAAAAGAAAAAGTGAAGAAGAAAAATAAACAAATCAAATAAAGATATATTTTATTTTTAGTGTAAAAGTTGATGTTAAGAAAAATTTTTCGTTGATTTATCAAATATTCGATTTTGACTTAAAATAATTACTTGATATATTTTTTCATGTTTTTTTTTTTACAAAATTTGAAAATTATGAATCAATTAAGATGTAATAGTTTTCGATAGTTAACCGGAAGAAAAGAGGCAATCTGTGCAGTCACCTTTTCATGTTGAAATTTCTAATATTTTTCATTCTTTGCGCCGTCCAAAAAAATGTCTTTCATACGTTTGCTTGGAATTTTCCAAGTTGACATGTGCTTATATGCAGAGGTTGAGTGTGCTCCTATTTATTCAATTTTAAAATGATTCATTTATTATTACTTTTCAACTGTGTACTTGTTTTGGCCAATGTCTCGAATTAATCTATTTATCATAGTTTTGAAAAATCATTTATTTGTTCTTGGCATCATTGCGCATCCTTTCACTATCAAGTTGATATTTTAGTTTCATTTTTTTTTCGAAGCTCGATGCCGTGTTAAAATTACGAAGATACGGTAAATCATAATTATCAGCTGATACTTTTCTCATAGAGAAAACACGAGCTGACTCATCGGTGTACACTTATATGAGTACCATTTATAAACTTGTATAGATGTCTACGGACTCTCAATTAATCCTATGTTACAATCGAATGACAATCTAATCTCTTTTTTTTTTTCATTTTCATGTTTTTCATTTCTCAATAAAATAAATGTGGAAATCTCGGATTTAAATCCGAGAGTTATGTGTACTTCAAAAAGTGAATTAGACAGATGAGTCATCCTAGAATGTGTGAACATCAAAATTATCCTGGCAAATCTTTCCTATAAATACTTGACTTTATTGGCTATTGCTCACCCAATATGACTTGGAGGCGAATACAACTCAGATTCGAACTCGTCGTCTTGATCTACGCTAAGAAAGTCGTTTTTTTCTATCACTTGATTTCTATTGGTTACCCCTCAACCAATAGGATTTCGAGGTAAGTGGAGTACAGATTCGAGTTCTCCAGCCCAGAAAACCTCAAAGTATCATCTCTGTGATCAGAAGATTGAGCTCTAATTGTGGATCAATTAGAG